GCATTTTTATTTTTTGAGACAGAGCCTCAAGCTGTCCCCCTGGGTAGAGTGCTGTGGCATCACAGCTCATAGCAACCCCCAACTCCTGGGCTCAAGTGAGTCTCCTGCCTCAGCCTCCCAAGTAGCTGGGACCACAGGTGCCCATCACAACGCCTAGCTATTTTTTGGTTGCAGCTGTCATTGTTTGGCGGGCCTGGATTTGAACCCGCCACCTTAGGTGTATGTGGCTGGCACCTTAGCCACTAGAGCCACAGGTGCCAAGCTCTTATAGTTAAATTTTCATGGTACACTTAAATTATGTTGATAAAAAAAAAGTTTAAAATATATATATATATATTGTGTTTTGAACTTTTTTTTTTTTTTTTAGAGACAGTCTCATTATGTCGCCCTGGGTAGAGTGCCATGCCATCACAGCTAACAGCAACCTCAAACTCTTGGGCTGAAGTGATTTTCTTGCCTCAGCTTCCCAAGTAGCTGGACGATGGGCCTGCCACAAGCCCAGCTACTTTTTTTTTGCAGTTTGTGGCCAGGGCTGGGTTTGAACCCGCCACCTCCGGCATATGGGGACATTGCCTACTTCTCTGAGCCACAGGCGCTGCCCAAGCCTGGCTATTTTTGTTGTTGTTGTTGCAGTTGTCATTGTTGCTTAGCAGGCCTGGGCCAGGCTCAAACCAACCAGCTTCGGTGTGTGTGGCTGCGGCCTTGCTCACTGAGCCATGGACTGCAAGCTGGATGTTTAAAATTTTTCACAGCACAGCTAAGATTCTTTCGTGGAACACCACTATGCTGTAGCACACCAGATGAAAATCACCATTACAAGGCGAAGGAAAGAGGTCGAGCCTCTTTAGGGCCTTCCTTGAGTCTTCATATGGGCACTATCTGACTACAGCCTCAAGAAAGACCCCTAGTGAGCCAGCAGAATTTCCCAGCTGAGCTCTGTCAATTTGCAGAACTATGAAAGATAATAAAACTGTTTCAGCTACTAAATTTTGAATTTTTTGTTATGCTACAAAAAATAACTAAATACCAGTGTATTTTAATTACCTATCAACTTTGTTTGCTCTACTGGACTATTTTCTCTATGAGGGTAGGGACCACATCCATTTTTTAATATTCATTATATACTCAGGACATTCTCCAGCACTGATTGACATTCTAATATATATTTGATTAATGCAAATTATGACTGTCAACAAAAACCAAGACAACAAAAGACTAGTACACTCATTGTGGTGAGTACACAATGGCATGTGTACACACACAAGAGGTGATTAACTGGACATCTGGGCGATAGGTCCTCAGTGGAAGATAGACCACTTACCTTTGTAGAGGGATTGAATCAGTGTGCAGGACTTTGTAGTGAGAACAGGCCACAATCCAACAACAGTGTTTGGGAGAAAAAAAGAATGACTAATGGCTTGGAGCCTAGCAGTTTAGGTGGATGCTACTCCTGACAGTGCTCTCAGGGACAGCACTGAACAGGTGATCTGGTGTGGGCTCACCATCCACCCTCACACAAGCGGTCTGTTGATGTTCTTAGGTTGCCAGGAACAAGAGATGCCATAATGCCATTTTATTCCTGTGGACAGATGCTTTATCCTCTCCTTCAAAACTTTTCAACTAGCTTCAAACAGGGGGGTTCTCAATGAAAGTTTGTATGTGGAATGAATACATTTCCTTTCAAATCAGTAAGCCTATGATTGGGGTCAGTAAGCCTGTGATTGTAATTATCAGCACGAGGTCAAGTCAACAGACATTGTTTGAACATATTCTGTGGATTGCCAGTTTATGTCAAGCCCTATGTGGGACACAAAATGGGAGAACACTCACCTGCTCTGAGGGAGAGAACTGGGGAGACTAGACATACACAGATGAGATAATTAAATAACAGGACAACATATAATTACTGCTAAGTTGTGTAGTAAGAAATGAAGTGCTATGGCTCGGCGCCTGTGGCTCAACCGGCTAAGGCGCCAGCCACGTACACCTAAGGTGGCGGGTTCGAATCCCCAGACCGGACTGCCAAAACAACGATGGCTGCAACCAAAAAATAGCCGGGTGTTGTGGCGGGCGCCTGTGGTCCCAGCTACTTGGGAGGCGGAGCAGGAGACTCGCTTGAGCCCAGGAGTTGGAGGTTACTGTGAGCTGTAATGCCACGACACTCTACCCAGGGGGACAGCTTGAGGCTCTGTCTCAAAAAAAAAAAAAAAAAAAAAAAAAAGAGATGAAGTGCTATAGGAATTGGAAAAAGCAGGGAACAGTGAGGACTCAATAAAGGGTCTTCACTGAGAAATTGAGATTGGGATGGGCCTAGAAGAATGAAACAAACTACAGATAGCCTGAAAGAAAGAAAAAGATATGTAAGTCCCAGGAGGAAAAACAAGATCCCAACCAGAGTACCTGTTACTTTGAGACAGCAACATAAGTAATGTGAAAGGTGGCTGTCTCAAGTTCCACAGCAAGGACCTTTCTAGTTTATCAATATTTGAACTGCTGGGCCTTTATTCAGTTTCCTCTGCATACAGTGCCTTTCTGCCTTTCCATCTGGCAAACTCTTACTCATATATAAATGCCCAGCTCAAAAGCAACTATTTTTGTGAATCCTTCCATAGTATCTCACAAACCACTGCTCATGTTTCTATTGGAATATTACCTTTTATCACTTACCTCTTTTACTACAATTAAGAGCACTTTACATTTATTGGGCTCTTACTATGTCACAGCAACTATGCTAAACAATGAAGATGCTAAATTTTTGTTTTAAGCAGGGTCTTGCTCTGTTATCCAGGCTAGCGTACAATGGTGTCATCATAGCTCACTGCAACTTCAAACTTCTGGGCTCAAGTGATCCTCCTGCCTTAGCCTTCCCAGTAGCTGTGACTACAAGAACATGCAACCACACCTGGCGTTTAAAATTGTTTTTGTAGAGATGGAATCTCACTATGTTGCTCAGACTGCTTAACGTTTTTGATGCATTATTTTATTTAAACCTTACAACAATTACATGAGGTTTAAGAAGATCTGAGGCTCAGTGTGGTTAAAGACTCTGTGCAGACTCAGCACCCATAGCTCAAAGTGAGTACAGCGCCAGCCACATACACTGAGGCTGGCTGGTTTGAGCCCAGGGCCAGTCCTGCTAAACAATGACAACTGCAATAACAACAAAATTGCCAGGTGTTGTGGCAGATGCCTGTAATCCCAGCTACTAGGGAGGCTGAACAAGAGAATCACTTAAGCCCAAGAGTTTGAGGTTGCTGTGAGCTGTGACACCATGGCACTCTACCAAGGGTGACAAAGTGAGACTCTGTCTCCAAAAAAAAAAAAAA